CTGGAATCTGGTTTGTCCCTTCCCCCAGTAGGTTGTTGTTGACAGTGTTTGACCAACAGATCCTAAGTATTATGTGTAGGACCACTGTTAATAAACACTTGTATCTTTTGGATAATGGCTTTCGTAGTGCTGCAAGTTTTTGCTCCATAGAGTAGAAGCGTCTTGACATTTGTATTGAAAATTCTGACTTTGTGAGAGAATATGGCTCTCACCGTCATTCTTCATCCAACTCTGTCCTGGTCAATCCTTTCCACTTAGGCGGCCTGCTTAAGCATCTGGGCTACCTGTTCCTGCTATCCAGATATTTCAACAAGTTATCTATTTTTATTTGTTCTAATATATCAATATGTTTATTAATCACATAATGTATTCTGCTGCGTTTCTGAAAAGTGTACAACCTTTCGTTGTCAAAGTTACAGAAAACTCAATAAGAGACAATATGGTTGCTGGCAATGTACAACGAAAAGAATGTACATTATTCAGATGTTCATTTACTGAACTGCTAACATCTAACTGGCAATCACTCAATATTTATCGGCAGGACCGACCAAGAAGAAAGAAACGGAAACTTGTTGAAATACTTTGTGCTGAGAATTCTATATTGTACCAAAAATATAATATTGAATAAAGCTAATAATAATAATAATAATAATAATAATAATAATAATAATAATAATAATAATAATAGTTCCAGTTTCTATTCATCATTTTGACGTCTGCTTCCAATTCTTAATGTAGGGTATTCTTTTGTGTTCCTATTTTTCGTTTTCCTTTAGGATTTCACCCGCAGCTATTCAAGGGTTAATCCTTGTTCCAAGTCCAGATAAAGGAGGAGGGTTGGGCATCGGGTCAGAAACCCCATCCTGTAGAAAACAACCTTGTTTAAGAAATACTCTAATCAGAGGTTATGATACTTAGGGATAAATCTTGATTTCTTCGTATATAATTATAAACTATCTTATTTCCTAATTGACTATAAATACGATGTTACAATTGTAATGAATTATATGGTTGAAACAAAACTTTTCTTTACCAAATTGTCCTCACTTCTTGATATATTCCTCGATAACGTTGAGTATGATTGTTTCCCCGAAGAAGATCTGACGATTTCACCAGCAGTAATGTTAGAATTATTCAAATTTAAACCATCTAAATTCTTTGATATATAGTTTGTAATTTTAATATCTTCTATACATCTTTTGATGAATAATTGATATTTACTAGTAACTTGGTCAAAAAGCACATGATATGTACTTCTTAAATGATATAATATCAACATTTATGTATCCATTACATCGTGAAGTTTGGCAACTTTTAAGCTAACAGCCGAAGGAATTTCTCCCAACACCACATTTATTTAGTCCTTTTCGGAAACTTGGAGAACTACTACAACCATCATCAAGAAGGTACAAGTATTTATAAATAGTTGTCTACGCAAGATGTTCAACATCCATTGGCCGGATAACATCAGCAACAGACTTATGTGGGAGAGAACAAACCAGCTTTCGGCTGAAGAGGAAATTAGGAAAAGACGATGGAAGTGGATGGGATATACATTACGGAAATCATCAAACTGCATCACGAAGCAAGCCCTAACTTGGAATCTTGAAGGGGAACGGAGAAGAGGAAAACCGAAGAACACACTACGTCGGCAAATAAAAGCAGACATGAAAAGAATGAATATCAACTGGAAAGAACCGGAAAGGATTGCTTGGGACAGCTTTGGATGGAGAGTGTTGGTGGGTTGCCTACGCTCGTCGATGAGGAGCAACAGGCGTAAGTAAGTAGGTACGTAAGTTTTGTAGAAATAAGTTTGAACACGAAATAAAGTTCCATAGTGTCTTCGAACCATAGAATCAGTTCATACTACAGACTTCCGTTAAAATGATTATTGTTTCTTTAAACAAGACCATAATATTGTGGATTCGATTTCATGTGAAATAATCAATGTATATTATTAAACATATCAGAACTAAACTAAAATAACTTTCCTACACTAGGTAATTCTCAACAGGTTTCTATGATGGTATAACTCTTTAACACAACCTAATCTTTATAAACTATCCAATGTATTTTTAAATTATTTCATTTCATTTTGACTTAATGAAATACTAATAAAATCTATACATTACCACCGGTGAAAGCTTGGAACTACTGGATGATTTTCATTGATGGTCTAACGTTGATAGGTTTATGATTTCGATGAAATTCAACAATCTCTATAACCTATAACTAAAAATTATGTATTAATCAAAAGGGGACACTGAATATATATTCACCCGACAAGTCATTTGATTTGTGTGTGGCCTGTGATACTGCCTGGATTCCCAAACCAAAACAGGTGGTTTTCTTAGGGGCTCACGCCCAGAGCCTTTGACATAAACGTCTGATCCACAAGGTAGTGGAGCAACGTAAGGAGATGTATTCCCATAACAGTCGGTTACCAACGATTGGTTCATACGCCATTTGTTCCCTCAGGATACTGGAACCCATGTACACCATTAGTTTGGACTCAAGGTTTTCCAACTGCTCTAGGTGGATTCTCCGTGTCTACCAACCCGGTTAAAACGCTGGACATTCGCTTTTCGTCCTCTCAATTTCGTAAACAACACCCGTGATGCGAAAAGACAGTGAGTAAGACTTCCCTGGTAGAGGCTATATACGCGTTGCCATTTGAGAGCATTTCGTGAGGGATAGCTGACTCTCCCCACCCTCAACCGTACCAGGGCATTTGAGGGCAGTATTGAGGAATGTATTGATAAAAATTCATTCAAATCAAGGAAGAATAAATGTCGTTTTGATTATTCACTATTAAGATTCCATAACTTATCCAATAGCATAAGCATTTCATACTATTTGTAACAATCAACTAACTCAGATATCATTAACTGAGAAGAAATAAGTGAAAGCCTATTGAGGCTTTGAAAGATGATAATCTGAAGTAACTGTGTGTGTGTATGGATAATAAAATGCTGCTGTGTCCTTGAAAACCAATTTCTCACATCACTAAGATATATTTAAGTACATAACTCAACTCTTTCTCATTACAAATACTAAAGATTTTTCAAACTCACTCATATAAATATAAACATACACAATAATCATAGATGGATAATGGCTAGCAGTGGAATCCAGGAAGCGTTTTTCGTCCTATTTGGGGCTTGTCAGTTGGATGTACCTGCATCTCAGAGTTCATATTCACTCTGGGACTCGAACCCAGTACCGTGCACTTCAAACATCATCGCGTTATGCACTTAGCTACTGAGTCTGATAGCCACCTGCTTGTGCAATGAGTGAAGTTGTATTCATTTGGTGTTGCTTGCTTCTATCTTTCTCAGAGTGAACATCAACTCCGAGATGCAAACTTATCCAGTTGATGAGTTCCAAAAAGGGGTTGAAACGCGCATCAAACTGGATTACACTGCTAGTCACTATCCATCTTTGCTTATACAGCTTTTGACTTCAGGCAATATCGAGGCAGTCTGCACAGTATGTATATATGCCGACAAGAGACAGTGATCAATTGCAGTCCTAAATAACAATGGGAAGACAGAAGTAAACAACATCAAGTTAACACACAATAATGTCTCACATATTTTGGTTTATTCCTTTGTACTATGAAAAACTTATGTTAATTTTATTCGGTTATTTGTGCCAAACTGCATAACGTCAGAAATTAAATTTTCTTACTCATGAAAGATTCAGAGGTTGACTCACGAGGACACACTAAAAAATATCCAAAAGATCAGAACAAATTGCTTGTCAGCTGACCATCGGTTCTCCCATTGAATCATTAACGAATGGAATCCATTAACTCAACACATGATTCAAGCTGCATTTGTTAACTCTTTCAAAACAAAGTTGAATCAGTTAAGAGACCATCATTGCCAGGACTAACATAGGTCACTTACCCACTTGTCTTTACCAAACTGAAACTGTAATATTACCAGTTTATTGTTTTCTTATCATCAACAACTTAACTAAATTTCAATGCATTTGATAGTGTCAAGTTAAATTTTCTTTTTGATTGAGATCATAAAGCGATTAGTATTAGACCATCATTGAAAACCTGGAAGCGCTGAATGGACGTTTCATCCTATTGTGGAGCTAATCTGTATCGGATAGAGACAGGTGTCTACCTCAGTACAATGGAAGATGGTCGCTCAGTTTTGTGGATTAGTTGTAGTTAGACATTAACACAGTTGGATATCAGCTCAATGGTCTATAGGTTAATTGTTCGCGCACGAGACTGAAGGTCCTGAATTCGATTCCCAAATACAAGATGGTGGATACACACTGCCACTGAAGAATCCCATATTAAGAAGAAACGATAGTTCAGTGCTTCTAGGTTTTCAATGTATTTTATTATTATCATGTTTATCAACCTAAGTACTTCTTTTTATTGATTGGGATCATGAACCGATTGATGTTAGACCACCATTAGAGCCGTGACCAGTGGAGCTAATCAATGTCGGGTAGAAACAAGTGTCTACCTCAGTACAATGGAAGGTGGTCGCGCGATTTCGTGGATTGGTTGAGGTTAGACATTAACACTATTGGATACCGGCTCAGTGGTCCAGTAGGTTAACCGTTCACACGCGAGACTGTAGGCCCTGGATTCGAATCCCGGGATCGTGGATACGCACTTCTGAGGAGTCCCAGAACAGGACGAAACAAGCGTCCAGTACTTTCAGGTTTTCAATGGTGATCTAACATCAGTTAGTGCATAGTCTCAATCAAAAAGAACTTCACAATCTTCACAACCCCTAAACTGTTAAATACTTCCATTTTTCTGACACAAATCGATATACTTCAATCTGTATGAAATAATTAGACATTGACGCACATAATAATGTATGTTTGTTCATGTGCGTGTGTGCATGTGCATGTGCGCGTATATATATGGTTTAACATTATTTAACCAATCAGCATTATCTATCTGTTCAAGGTCATGATAGATTTAAATAATAAAAGTAGAAAGACCGGTCATTTTAATTTAAATGATTCCAGAAGAATTACAAAAGATTCAAACAATTAATGAAGTGAATATACCAATATTCAATATTACAATTCATGGAATTAATGATCATGTGAATGTACAAAAATTAATTACATTCTTATTACCAGAATATGAAACAAAGAATATTGTTGCCAAGGTAAGCACTGGGTAATTTGTCTAAGCTTACGAACAATCATTATCTCATGTATAGTATATCTTAAAGAAGTATTTGTAGTTGACCATTGAATAGGGTGAAGTTGTCAAAGAGTTTATGAAGGATATAGACAGTCTTGTGATGGTTCCCAGCAAAAGGAGCTTACACAAGATATATCGATACACTGGGTTAATAATAACAGTAAAAACCCTAGGTGTCTGTCTGCGAGTAAAACCAAGGATAACAAAATACAGTTAGGATACAAATGGTATATTAAACAAACAGATAATAACAGTTATTATGGAATGAATGTTACTTGTAAGCTACCTTGTGAGATAACAAGCACAAACTGAGTTCACTTGATTGACGAAGATTCCTCTTCAAGTGATTGTACCAACCTCGTGATGAGAAAGACGGAGTCCAATAGTATTATATAATAATAATAATCCGTGCCAAAAGTCCAATGTAGCGTCGGAAGGCCTAAAAGGATGTTATAACACTATTATAGTCTTCAATCAAAGACCTTGGCCAATAAAGCAGAAGAACAAACGCCGTAGATAATGTTTTATATTTTAACCAACGCGGTAGTCAATTCGTATATTCATCATCAAAACAATTATCGTCGTTTTTTAACCAGTGATACAGGAAAACAACAGATATTGAATAAAAATGTAGTTACATATATAAAGTGTGACAAATTAGAGAGAAAATGCGGTTTTTATTTTGTCTTTACAAAAATCACTGAATATACGTCATTATAGTCTTCATTGGTACAAGAGTATGTGCGAAACACTAGTATACCTAACTTATTAAAATTATTCTGATATAAAGAAGATTATGATGGAAAAGTGGCAACACTAATTAGATGGACGAGAATGGTCATAGCACAAAAACTTAACACATTTTGTTGGATGATCGGTAGCATCTCTGATGCTATACAGGAAGATGATGAAAGAAGTTTGCTAATTATTGTAAATCGGCACCTTCTTGAATGGATGGCCTTGCGGAGTCTGGTGTTTTGTACGTGAAACCAGTGACAAACCGATTTTCCTGACAAACGTTTAGTAATTACTATTATCATTACAAAACCCCATTCTGATCATAATCATCATATGCTCACTGGTGACTGGTCTCAAGAGGTATTCCCTTGAGTTCTGATGAGAAGCACGGACCAATGGAGTTCACTCGGGTCTTTTTTGATGGAGTTTTGTTCTCTGAGCTGGATGGTTTAGTCGTGGAGCTTTCATCGTTCTTCTGAACGATATCATCAGCATAAACTTCTAACTGAACTACAAATATTTTCAAACATCTTACTCGGGTCTGTTGTGAAATTGTAAATCCCTGGAGACAGTGGTGGATGTGTCACTCAATTTTGTGAATTAATTGAAGTTAGACATTAACACCGTTGGATACCAACCAGCTCAGTGGTCTAAAGGTTGGTTAAGCGTTCACGCTTGAGACCGATAGGTTATGAGACGGGATCATGAATGCGCGCTGCTGAGAAGTCCAGTGCTATGACGAAACGGCCGTCCAATGCATCTAAGTTCTCCATGATGATCTAGCTTCAATGGACTCATAAACTTACTATATTCCCTTTCTGATAATTATGTAATCCATGATTTGTAAATCTTTTTTTACAGGTATTAAATAAAGGCTATTCAAATCAATTAATCTTAATTGACCATAAGAAACAATATTCAGCTTCATTATCTTCAATACCATCATTAATTATACGTATTTATGGTAATTTAACAACATCATTAATAGATAGAACAAATGAAATGAAATATATGAAAGTAGTTGGAAAATTCAAAGATTTTCAACAATTATATGGAATATTTAATAATGGATTTGTATATTCATACATTGATGGTTGTGATATTTCATTGGAAAAATTATATGATATAAAATATGGCAAGTAAGTAGTTGAAGATGATTAGGGTGCTTTTTTTATTGAGATCATGAATCGATCGAAGGAGCTCGGTACGAATCCCGCCATTGGGGTCATTGATTTGCAGTCAGTTGGTTGGTCATTCAGCTAAAACGTAAAACCAGGCACATATATCCATCACTCCAACTTACCATACCTCATTAGAACAACAATATGAACACCAAACTCATAGAACTAGTTAATGCAATGATAGTAATAAAGATTGTGTATAAGGATATAGTACAGGAAGAAAGAATTAGTTGATGGAAAGAAAGATATGAAGCGATTTTTCAATCTCATAGTTTAAGGGAAGAGAAAGAATGTAAACACCCACACCATTTCGATCATTTCTGAAACATGTCACGCCAACCCCAAACAACTAGTCTGTATCCAGCAACATGGCTCAAACAAGAAGTTAGTGACTTCAAGTACTGATGTAACGTTTTGGTTTGTCCACCACTCACTTTCTCCCAACCATTCTATACACTAGTCAGCATTGTGTGTCGTGATAATCAGTGTTCAGACATATGTAACAGGTTGTCCAACCATTTCAGTCGATGAAGATTCATAGTGTTATCAATTGATTTACCATCATCATTCTCTAATACCCTGAGTCTAATCTCACTATTACTTACTCGGTGATCCCAGAAGACGCGAGCACTGCTGAGCAGTCACACAATAGGACGAACACAACCATCCAGTGCTTTCAGGTTTTCAATGGTGGTAGTCTAACCTTGATCGATTCATGACCTTAAGAAAAATTATTATTTCATATTCTAAGATGAATTGACAATTGACTGATTGAGAGATTTAAATTTTAAAACAATATGATAAAGATCGATATTCGTTTGCTTGACATTGGAACTCCTTTCGAACAAAACTATAACTCACTCAACTACTCATTTAAATGAATTTATGATAATGTACAAATATCTCATCTTATTGAGAAATGATTGAACATAGTAAGTGAGAAATCATGAACCTAGATGTTATGCTAGTTTGCAACTAGTCAGTCAAATAGGCTTATTGTTTTGTAGTGAATTGATGCTCGCAGTATAATTCGAGGCTACGTGACACTGAGTTACAATTGGAGATGTTATCATTTAACTGTTTGAGCCGGGATTGACCTCTTATAAGACTTGAGCGTTTATAATTGATTGATCAATAAGTGTCACGTTTGTCTAATCTTTAGTGTCGATCAGTTTCTATCAATCAAGTTTCCGTATATTTTACAGATCATAGAGATAGGAGATAAGATGTAGAAATTAGATGATATGGCTCAAAACCGTTCGCAATTGCGTAAGTGCATCCACTATTTGTATTCTCCCGAATCCTAATCTTCTGAATTCTTTATGTCCCTCTTCGAATCTTAATCTTTCCGACTACTGCTAATACTCTTACTATCTCTACCACTATGGGATTTGAATCGACAATTGTATCTCTGTGCTAATGTAGAATGGCAAGTCGAACTGATGTACGTACGTACGAAGTTCTACGTTGTTACTGACTATTTATATTACTTATTTGAACACATAAATACTGGTGCAAGGAGGCACCAAATACATATGCGCCACACCAATCTCATTTGATTTGTGTGAGGACTGTGATACTGCCCGGGTACCCAAACCGAAACAGATGGTTATCTTAGGGGGCCACACCCGTAGCCTTCCATCCAAAGGTCTGATCCACAAGGCAGTGGAGAAATGTTAGGAGATGTAGTCCCATGGTTGCCGGTGTCCAACGATTTGTTCATACGCCATTTGTTCCTTCAGGATACTGGAACCCATGTCCACCATTAATTTAAAACCATGGTTTTCCAACTGGCCTAGGTGGACTCTCCATGTCCACCAACCCGGTTAAAGCGCTGGAGTTTCGCTATTCGTCCTCTCAATTTCGTAAACAACACCTATGCCACGAGAAGTCAGTGAGTAGGACTTCTCTGGCAGAGGCTATATAAGCGTAGCCATATTGGATAATATCATTATTATCAATATATATACATTATTAAGACTAATTAGTACTTAGATACAAAAATATTATTGATTTTTACATCATTCACAAAATAGATTAATTGCAGAGAAATTGGCTCAATTACATTGTTTATCGATTGATGAATTTATACAACAACAAAATAAGAAAATCAATCCAGAATCCCAATTATTTCCAACCCTATTTAAATGGATCAATCGACTTGATGATGAATTTATTAATTTATCAAGAAAATTAAAAAAGTAAGAATATTTTTTAAGCAAACTAACTATATTACTGTTAATACTACTATTTGTTATATAAGTATATCTGTATATACAGCTACAAAATGGTGGTCATGCTGGGACCACCGGGTAAGTAACACTAAGGTTAGAATCAGGGTATTAGAGAATAATGATGGTATATCAGTTGATGTCACTGTGAATCTTCATCCACTGAAATGGTTGGACCACCTGTTACATATGTCTGAACACTGATTATGACGACACATAATGCTGACTAGTGTATGGAATGGTTGGAAGAAAGTGAGTGGTAGACAAACCACAACGTGGCATCAGTACTTGAAGTCACTAACTCCTAGTCTTAACCATGTTGGTGGATGCAGATTACTTGGTTGGGGTTCGCGTGACTATCATAACCAATGGTTAGAGACTGTGTGTGACATGTCTCAGAAATGATCAAAATGCTGTCTGTGTTTACATTCTTTGTGTTCCCTTAAACTATGAGATTGAAATCGCTTCATATCTTTCTTTCTACGAATTAATTCTTTCTTCCTGTACTATATCCTTATATGCAATCTTTCTTTTACATAATACCACCATTGAACTAACTACTTCTATGAGTTTGGTGTTCATGTTGTTGTGTTATGAGGTATGGCAACTTGAACTGTTGCATATATGTGCCTGGTCCTACGTTGTAGCTGACTGACTGATCAAAAGTACAGTTCGGAAGCAGAACATTCGCACATCAACGGCATTTGAAGGTCATTGTGAACTATTACGAAATGATTGGATTCGGAAATGTAAATTATTGGTTAATGAATCAGAGTTCTAAATGTTAAGCGCTTGTCATGACGTTCTGAGTTCGATCCCTTAGTTGCATGATATCACTAGGTTGTCCCATTTAGTGACGAAACAACTGTCTAGTAACTCCTGATTTTCAACGGTTATCTGGAATTAGTTAGTGATGGAACTGATAAAATTCAAGAATCTTCACATACATGCTACATCAATCATGTTTTGAGTACTGTATATGAAATTGTTATATCTAGAGCTTAGATTCTTACTATGCTGCTTATAACTTGAGCACTCAAACGTTAGAACCCTCCGTGGTTGCAAATGAGAAGACAGAAGTCAAGTGAAAGGAATTTTATTCCAAATAGTGACAATTATGGTACAAAACTGTCAGGTATTTATAGTTTTTAATAAAAACGAAATCATCATTATAGTCATCCAATCCGCATACAGAGGGTTATTAGCATTTGTCCAATAGAAAGCTGCACGTCGGGATTCTGGAATATTCTTCCAAAAGATGATTGAATGGAATATCTTTGGCACTTTCTTAGCTTCTTAGAGCTTTCTCGAGTTCACCTATGGACCATCCTCACAGAAATACAGATAGAATTGACGATATTATTTTTTATTCTTTGAATGACAACAATTATTTGGAACTTTCCCAATGAGGCAAATTGTCAATGAGGAAATAAATTGATACCTCTAGTGATATACAAATTAGAAAATATTTACATTACAAATACCCAAGTCATAATTAATAAAGAATAAAATCAATAGGAGAATAATTATGAAGAAATATATAAGGGAATATAGAGATACAGTTATCCAACTATTCAGCAATAAAATAAATAGTCATGATGCTTGAAGGAGTTCCAGACGTTTCAACTTTCCCAGTACTTGTTCTATTACAAGACCGAAGCATATTAAACATTTCTTCTGAATCCCAAGAGTGTAATCGTTCAACCAGCGAATTACAATGGAAAAACGGACTAGTTAATGTAGATAGGTCTGTAGCGAAGGAAATTACAGAGTTACTTGGTAAAATAGAAAAACCATGCTATAACACTTAATTTGCAAAATGTTCAATAATTGTCTCAAACTTCGTTGTTCTTGCATTTCCATACTAATTGCTTTCTATTGCTGCTCTTCCTTTCTTGATATTCCCCATGTTCTGCTGCTAAACATTACATTCCTGACTCGTGTTATATACTACTTATGTCAATATAAGTAGCACGCACCATAGGTCAACTCAAATGTGAATTAAAGAAATCTATCCTCCTTTCCAATTCTATGATAAGTTAATTGTAGAATTCGGAACTGTGGTTAGTTTCAGTAAATTAACTTTTGCAAAGCTTTTCTTATTAGCCATTTTCACTGATCTCATTGACTAACAATTATCGCTCTAAAAATAACAGTCATCTTAGTAACCATCGTTATCTTCGACTTCATTTGTTATTCAATTCATATCTACACCAATACTAAGACAACAGACAGAATTAGAAGGTTGTTTCAACATATACATAAATATCATACTTGATGGTGAAACTCTGAAAGATGTTGAATCTTTCACGTACCTGGGAAGTATCATCAGTGAACAAGGAGGATCCGATCAAGATGTAAAGGCGAGAATTGGCCAAGCAAGGGTTGCATTCCTACAGTTGAAGAACATATGGAACTGAAAACAACTGTCAACTAATATCAAAGTCAGAATCTTTAATAAGAATATTATGACAGTTCTATTGAACGGAGATGAAACATGAAGAACTGCTATAACTGTCATCAAGAATGTACTGAATGTCCGTTGACCGGATACTATCGGAAACAGCTTACTGTGGAATAGAACAAACCTGTTTCCAGCTGAAGAGGAAATTCGGGAAAAACGTTGGAAGTGGATAGGACATACATAACAGAAATCACCAAACTGCAACACAAGACAAGCCATAACTTGGAATCTTGAATGGAAGCGGAAAAGAGGAAGAAATTAATACCATACTGTACAGAAAAACTAGTAAGAATACAAAGAAGCTTTCATTTCACAACTTCAAAAAACTTCAAAAATACAAAATATTTTCCAGTATGAGGATTGTTATTGAGATCACAAAATGTATGAGGTTAGACGACCAATGAAAACCTGGGAACAGTGGACGGCTGTTTCGTCTTAGTATGAAACATCTTAGCAGTGTGCATCTCCGAATCCGCACGCTGGAATCGAACCCAGGATTTTTGGTATCAAGAGAGAACGTCCAACCTCTATGCCATTGATCTAGGATCCAAGGATGCACATGTGTTACTTTGATCAGTTTACGATATTGCACCAACACCTTTCACTATCTTTGATGAGTACCTACCTTCCTCAAATCCGACATAGTCAAACTCCACTAGCCACAGATTTTTTTCACTGTTCAATGTGTGTGTGTGTGTAGTTTCTCAAGCATTTTCGGACAATTTTTCGTTTATTTAGTGGTTCAGTCCGATACTCTTTGAATAACATGAATTGTCTAATTTAATCTAATCCATAATGTAAACTATATAATGATCTCTCATCCTAAGAAAAACATTTCATCATCTTCATTTTATTTTATATTTTATTTTAACACATAGATATTGGTACAAGAGGGCAATAAATACATATGCGCTACAAAAATCTCATTCGATATATGTGAGGACTGTGATACTGCCCGGGTGCCCAAACCAAAGAAGGTGGCTTTCCTAGGGGGGCGTACCCCGAGCCTTTGACCTGAAGGTCAGACCCACAAGGCAATGGAGCATCGTAAGGAGATGCAGTCCCATGGTAGCCGGTGACCAACGATTGGTTCATACGCCATTTATTCCTTCAGGATTATGGAACCCATTTCCACCATTGGTTTGGGATCATGGTTTTCCAACTTCCCTAGGTGGACTCTCCGTGTCAACCGAACCCGGTTAAAGCGTCGGACATTCACTTTTCGTCCTCTCAGTTTCGTAAACAACACCCCCGCCACGAGAAGGCAATGAGTAGGACTTCCCTGGTAGAGGCTGTATACGCGTGGTCATGTAAGAGCATTTCGAGAGATAGAGAGAGAGCGGACTCTCCCCACTCTCGGCCGTACCAAGGCATTTGGGGGCATCATCTTCATTGCTTCATGATTTCACTTTAGATAAAGTTATCTAACTGTTTTGATGAATCAATCAAAACCACCGGGAACTAAAACGTCACCCCATATTTTTTTCTTTGTTTTATAATTATTACTTATCACTTTTCAGATATGAATCAATTTTTCCAAGTAAATCTTATATATTCAATGAAGTGATCAAATTGAAAGATCAATATCTTAACAGTCCTATATCTAAAGTAGTTTTATGCCATAATGATCTGAATGCAGCTAACATTATACTGGCTCCAGATGAAAGTGAGTACAAATATCCTTCAGTTAACTCTTTGAAAGTCACGAAAAGCTTAAAACCATTTTTGTTAAAATCAGTATCCATTAAGAACTCCTTAAGACTATCTAGAAAATCGGTGGATTATTTGACACACTTTGTCTGAATGATCATCTACTTTTTTTTGTTATTAGGTTTAATACACTTTTAGAAGTTTAGAGAAGGTCAAAGTTACTTTGATGTTAAACATCTATTCATACTTCATACCTTTTCTCCCCTGTTCAATAATAAACTATAGGGGAAATATGGAGATCTAGGAAGAGGCTAGAAAGTTATTACCAAGCGTTCGAATTTAATATGTATCATATGTATTAGATTACTACTGACATACAGTTACCTCAGAACTTAAGTGTAATCACTTGAAGTCTATTTCTATTGAGACTCAAAACTTCAATAAGCAAAAACATTGGAAATTCTACCTAACATAATGTAGTACAATATAAACACATACAGCATATTCACTTGTAACCCTTTGTGTTAGTAAAGTTGGCGTATGTACAACAAAAATTAAGGATAATCATAATAGATCAGTAGTGTAACTAGGTTAAACGTTTTTCACATCTAGTTCATAATTATTTGGAGTACTTTAATTTTATTGGTATACATTAGTACTCACTTCTAGTTACCTAGTCAATCAACCAATCTGGCTTTGATCTAACTTCTTTCTTGAGTAGCATATAATTTCCAATAGTTGAGATCATGAGTCAATTGAAGCTAAACCATCATGGAAAACCTGAAAGCACTGGACAGCCGTTTTGCCCTATTGTAGGACTCCTCGACAGTGCGCATCTACAACCCTGCCTCACGGGATTCGAACCCAGGGAACATCAGTCTCGCGCCAGGCGACTCATGATCTCAACTATTGGAATTACTACAATCTCCACAAAAGACTGATCAATCGCCGTCCTAAATATCAATGGGAAGATTCAAGTAAACAATACCAAGCGAATTTAAACTTCACCCCATTGTACTCAGGTGGCTATCAGGACTCAGTGGCTTAGTGGATAACGTGTTAGTGTTTGCAGTGAACGGTTGAAGGTTTGAGTTCTGGAGTGAACATCAACTCTAAGATTCAGATATATCCAGCTGACAAGTCCCGAATAGAACGAAACGCGAATCAAACTGGATCCCATTGCTAGCCAGTATCCATCAGATATAACTTAGTGATAAAATTTCCCACCAAATCGATCAAATATTTCCATATTTTATTGATCTCTTATCATTTTAGTCATATACATTATATTACACTAAAAAAGAAAATGGATTTTAGTTTACATATATCTGTATCTTTTTTTATGCCTTAATAGATTCTGTTCACCTGATTGACATGGAATATTGTGACTTAAACTATGCTGCATACGATATTGGTAATCATTTTTGTGAATTTACTGGTAAGTTTTCATTACAGTTGAATTACTATTGTCTTAAGACAATGAGATGTAGATACGTTCCCCTGATGAGTCCTCAAAAGAACGAAACACGCTTCAACCTAAATCCCATTGCTAATCACTATCCATTTTTGTTTAAAATATACTTATCTTTTTTCTTTATATTGTTAACCAACGTTGTTGTTATTGTTGTTGTTTCTTTGTTGTCATTATAACAATTCATTACAGGACCATATGCAATAGAGTTTAAACGTTATCCTTCAATTGAATATCAAAAACAATGGATAAACATCTATTTAACAGCCTATTATCAATATTCTAATTCAAAATCAGATCTTCATTATAATGAATTACAATGGAATAGATCTAAAGAAGATTATATAAATCAATGGATTAAAGAGATTAATTGTTTTGCATTAGTAAGTTAAACAATATGTTATCATTCAATGAATTAGTGAATATGTTCACATAGATAATGTAATGGATCGAGATAGACTTAGATAAACACTTAATCACTAGAATGAATAGATTGAATTATAGTTGATATATTTTCCATTGTTGTGGTATATCATAAAGTGATTCAAGTTGAAATGAGATCGATACATGGCGACGACGACGACAACGACGACGATGACGACAACGATGACGAAATGGTTCTAATAGAAAACTTCTCTTTAATTTGTATGATAGAAGATTTAAGTTAAATGTAATCATGTTGAATGGACGGTGAAACTAAAATATATGGACGACCTTTGAGCGACGCTAAAGTGACCTTCAGGGTGTTCACCTAGTGACTAGGACTAAATGAGGGTTATAAACCTTTGTGAGGAATTGGAATTATGATATACGCATATAGTGAAATTCGAACACTTCACTTCTATCTGAAGTTGGTGCCGATGATGTTATTCAGAAGAACGATGAAAACTCCACGACCAAACCATCCAGCTCAGACGACAAAACTCCATCAAAATTATGATATACAGTTGATGATTAAGGTTAAGAATTAGATTTACAGTTTTCATGACCAACTGCCATAAGTTATAATACCAAAATGTTATTTAGCCAAATGGATGAATGAATGTCACACCCGAATTCGAGACCTTTTATCTTATACATGATGGGTTTGTTCATAAATTATAGTCTCACCGAATTGACTATTCAAATGAATAAGACCTATGTGAAAAACCTGTATTAGAACATGTTAATCTAAATTTAGATCAATAATCAGTATAGATAGAAACATTTTCAATGCCAATAGATAGTCCTAAATGTTCAGACTGATTTTGTAGATAAAGGCATAAACTTACTTTGTATTACATTAGGTTGAAATGAGAAAGTTATATGTCGGGATAATGATTGCTTTACAATTACAATAGTCAATTTGGTGAAACTGAAATCATTGTTTACTTACTTACTTACTTCTGTTATCCCCAATGGAGCATAGGCTGCCGAACATGGGTAAGGTAAGTGATAATAAGAGACTCAGTTAAACACTACTATTTCGTAATATTAGCCAGTTAGTTAGTCTTCTACAACGTAGGACCACGCACATATATGCAACAGTTCAAGTTGCCATACCTCATAACACAACAACATGAACACCAAACTCATAGAAGTAGTTAGTTCAATGGTGGTATTATGTAAAAGAAAGATTGCATATAAGGATATAGTACAGGAAGAAAGAATTAATTCGTAGAAAGAAAGATATGAAGCGATTTTAATCTCATAGTTTAAGGGAACACAAAGAGTGTATACATAGACAGCATTTCGATCATTTCTGAGACATGTCACACACAGTCTCAAACCATTGGTTACGATAATCACCGCGGAACCCAACCAAGTAGTCTGCATCTACCAACATGGCTTACACCAGAATTTAGTGACGCCAAGCACTGATGCCACGTTTTGGTTTGGCCGCCACTAAGTTTCTTCCAATCATCTCCAACACTAGTCAGAATTGTGCGCCGCGGTAACCGGTGTTCAAGCATTCGAAATATGTGACCCAACCATCTCGTTCGATGAAGATTCAAAGTGTCATCAACTGATTTAGCATCATCATTCTCTAATACCCTAAGTCTAACCTTACTATTACTTACCCGGTGATCTCAGCAGAGTCGAGCCAGAAAAATGGAAATTCATGTACTATGTATCTTAGAATATGTTGCTGTGTGATCTGAATAATCCAATTAGATAGTTTTCTCAGATTTCAAACCAGTCAACATACGTCATTGAGTCTATTATCAATTTTACTTTGGCTGGGTAAAAAAAATTATGATGAATTATAATTATGCTTATTCATCCCAGTTAACAGGTTGTGTTCTCTTCTGATATACTTGGGACTCGGTTAGACTTTATGTCCAGTGCATCCTGCCAACTACTTAAAACTATCTAAAGTTTGAATGATTATGTGTCTAAATGTTTAGTTGAATGCACGAGTCAGTCTAAGCTAGATCACCGTTAAAAACTTTGAACTGGGGTTGTAAATGTTTACTGCCGATGAATCTTATACTAGAATGAAACGGCCGTCCAATGTTTCTAGGTTTCCAGTGGTGGTTAAGCTTAGATCAATTCGTGAATTCAACGATTAAAACATATTATCATTGAAAACCACATATTCAGATGTTTGTAAATCGGGGCAATAAACCATAAGTTAAGATAAAAGCTATTATAATACCAAATAATAATTTTCAGTTAGGTCACTGTGTGACATTACTGTGGAGAGAGAAAACTAACTATTCAATTATTTATTATTATTATTATTTGAACACATAGACATCGGTACAAGGAGGCAGCAAATAGATATGCACCACAAAAATCATTCGATTTATGTGAGGGCTGGGATACTGTTCGGGTGCCCAAACCGATGCACGTGGTTTCCTTAGGGGGCCACACACGAAGCCTTCGACCTGAAGGTCTGATCCACATGACAGTGGAGCATCGTAAGGAGATGCAGTCCCATGGTAGTCGGTGATCAATGATTGGTTCATACGCCATTTTTTCCTTCAGAATACTTTAGCACATGTGCACCATTGGTTTGGAATCAGGGTTTTCCAACTCCCTGAGATGGATCCTCCATATCCACCAGCCCGGTTAAAACGCCGGACATTCGCTTTTCGTCCTCTCATTTTCGTAAACAACACCTACGCCACAAGAAGGCAGTGAGTAGTACTTCCCTGGTAGAGGCTATATACGCGCGACCATGTGAGAGCGTTTGGAGAGGGAGAGCGGACTCTCCCCACTCTCAGCCATACCAGGGAATTTGTGGGCAACTAACTTTGGTGTCTCCTCACTTGCGGATAAATCTTTCGCCTTTTAACTAGTCGATTAATTTATGACGTTGCATTATGGTGAACTACACTTTTCTTCCCCTAATTTTAGGTATCTCATTTACTTTGGGCTGTTTGGGCAGTAATTTGTGCATCGGAAAACTTATATTCTATGGATTTTCTAGCGTAAGTTATTTTGTTTTTTTCTTCGATTAAGGATAAATTACAAAGTCATTTCCCATCTTTAAAATGGTGGGAGGATTTTAATGAAACAAACTCTAGAAGGCAGAAAGTAATTGATATATGTTTTATCCTAGTAGGAGAGTCTACAACGGCAGATATCCATGACCTGATCACGAATCGAACTCAAAGCTGTGAAGTATCAAGATGAATAATTCACCTCCAAATCAATTCATTGACAATGGATAGTTTACATTCTCAAGTTCAGTCAAACTAGGTTACTCGTTACGCTTAGAAACAATAGGTATGGTGTTAAGAGATACTAGGATAGCTAATGTTTACCGTTCAGCATATCAATTCACATATTTCATTCTAGAGTAAAGAGTTTCATCTGTCACTTGATTTTCAGTCAATCGGTTATCATAAAGACAGAGCCCCGCTTAAAGATAACAAGAAAGAAAATTATCAACATCTACTATACTTGGCTATGAATGTCACTCGGTTTTTGATCAGGAAGTTAGCATCTACTGACGTGAATTATTTTGCCCTCACTTTTTTTCTAGCCGAAATTCTATGTTGAATAAACGACATTAACACTTGTGTAACACCTGTCTTAGCTCTCTTGGTTGATTAAAGTTGACTTGCTTCATTTACTCAATAACATATTTTTAGCCTTAGTGTTTCTCTCTCTGTGCTTCCATGAAAATAAACAATGTTTCACAGACAGCTATGGTCAAATACTTCTAATCTTCATACACCTTCTACCTTCATATATAGTTTTTCACAGGCATAGAGCGTAACAAAGCGGTAATTATCAATATAGTGTTGTAGAGATTATTAAGTTTCTGAGTGAGATCATGAATCGATTGATGTTCGAATCTCGCGAGCGAGATCTTGGATGCACACTGTTGAGGAGTCCCATAATAGGACGAGACGGCCGTCCAGTGCTTCCAGATTTTCAATGGTGGTCTAACATCAATCGATTCATGATCTCAATTAAAAACGAATTCTAGGTAGTTTGCTTACCCCTAAGCTATTGAATAGATTGTTGCTACTGATTCTTATTGTACTTGAACACTAAAATTCTGGTGGACTACTTAACCGCTTCCCTGTCCACTAAAATATTCCATCTACTCTTGAATTCCAAACAGAATATACAGATCTAAAAGTACCGAAAAAGCTTTACTATGAAGATTAATTAGTTCATTTACAGAAAATATGGATGTTTATAAGATTACTTGTGACATTGAAATCGAAGAATCTTCTGAAAAATATGGTAGAAACCATTGGCAATCGAATCTATCAGTGTATAATTATTTAGTCACTTTTTAGGAATTTCGAAGCATCTTCACCCTTTTATCTGTCCTCTCATCATCCAGAATTCATAAGACGGATTACAGTGCAAATTCGTGCATGAACGACAGCTGAGAGACACATTCCAATTGAGGACCGGAGTCAGACAAGGCTGCTTACTTGAAACGTCATCAAAAATGTACAATTATTTATAAACAATTGTCTACACAAGATACTCTCAGCAACAGCCCACTATGGAAAATAACAAACCAGGTTCCATTTGAAAAGGAAATTAGGAAAAGACCCTGGAAGTGAATAGGAAATATATTACAGAAATCATCAAACTGCACTACGAGGCAAACCGTAACTTGGAATCCTGAAGGGAATCAGGAAAGAGGAAGACCAAAAAAACATATTGCATTAGGAGTCAGAGGAAAATATGAAAAAGATGAATAGCAACTGAAAAGAACTAAAAGAGATTGTCCAAAACAGAGTTGTATGGAGAATACTGGTGAGTGACCCATGCCCCTCCACAAGTGGTAACAGGCATAAGTAAGTAAGTAATCTATCCTCTGAAGAATTTTTCAAGTAATCATCGACGACTCATAGGAATTCTTTCATTTCATCAGTAAACAGTAATAGAATGACAGAAAAATCAAGGATCACAGAGAATAGTTCATGAATGATGTACTTGATACTTTTCCTACTTCAAACTAATTAATCAATCGATATTTACAATTATGATAATGATGATCAATGATTTCTGTTTCATTCATCCATATATTGATTGATTCATTTATTGATTGATTATAGGTATGCTGATTCAAGAATGAAACAATATTATCATATGAAGAAATGGTTACCGTCAACATTTCAATTACCTGTTGTGTAATTTCTATTTACAAAAGTATCCATTTTTATACTGTTTAATATAAATTATTAATAGACTATACAAAACACATATCTGGTTAGCGTTTTTTTGGCAAGTTAGTTTTCTACGGGATGGGATCGCTAATCTCATATTCAACCCTCCTGTTTTATTCGGAATTGACTCCTACGGTAGCTCCAGAGCGGCTCCAGGCAGAGTTCAAAACACATATCAGTCCATGGTATTTTTGTTATTTTGGATTTACAATTCTCTGTTTTATTACAAATTAATCAATAGTACTAACAAATGCATGAGTAATATAAATAGTATAAAGTGTATGAAGTCATTTGTTGAAAGTTGTTTATACATTCAATGAATTTCTTACTTTGTATTTAATGAAAGTGTGATGTGTGCTACTGATGTCGATAGATATAAGTAGTATGTATCATCAATTGAAAGTGAAATGTCTAGTGGCAGAAGGTTAAAAAGATCAAAGAAAAGAGAACGAAAATAGAAAGTGATAGGTTTCGAAACAAAAGAACAACGAAATCTGAAACATTTGATAGACATTTACCGTACGGATTTTAGATTTTACCAAGTTATTTTGTAATGTTGTGCTGAAATGCATTTGGTTAATCCCTGCCAGTGTTCTCATTCACTACAACAGTATCTGCACCTCAAAAAAGTTATCAATAGGATTACAATGATTTAGTTTAAGGGATCTAACGCTAAGGTTGTGATGACAGGAATAATTAATAATATTATACTATTAAAATGAATATAGAATGGACGCCAGCTTATAGGCATCATAATTTTTGATCAAAATGACTGGATATTCATGATCATCAAACAAGTTCATACTATTCAACAAGATGTAATTTGAAAGTCTTTTATGGTTATAATCCATACTTACTTACGCCTGTTACTCCTCGTGAAGGAGCATAGGCGGCTCACAAGCATTCTCCATCCAACCCTATCCTGGGCAATCCTTTCCAGCTTCTTCCAGTTCCTATTCATCCTTTTCATATCCGCTTCTATTTCACAATCTTCATAGTTTTGCTGGTTAATGAATCTTATCTTCATACAAATAGATTTTCATAAGCTATCATCTAAACCAGAGATTTGACCATGAAGGTTTCCACAATCTGCATATAACCATGTGTATTGTGTAATAGACATGTGGATGGCACAGAAATATCAACGTCACTGAGAACACACACACTTGAAGAACATCACATATTACAGGAGAATTCTTTATTGTATACACTAAAGTCATCTGCCTTAATTCTGTTCCAAATGATGTTATCTATTAAAATAATTAATAAGTAGTATATTAATGCTTTATTTTGTATAGCATATTTGTAATAGAAAAATTGGTGAGATTATAATTTATGGATGACCTTTGAGTGACCCCAAAGTTACCTTGAGAGTGTTGACCTAGTAACTAGGACCAAATCAGGGTTATGAAACATTGTGGGGGATTACAGTTATGATTTATTATTGATAATTAAGATTAGAAATTAAATTTAGGGTTTTCATCACGAACTGACATCAGCTATAATGCCAAAACTCTATTTGGCCAAATGGATGAATGAATTTCATGCCATAATCCGAGACCTTATTATCCGATATCTGATTGATTCGTGCAAAAAAACTAATAATCTGGCCGAAATTTTTTGTCATCTAACCTTTAAGCAAAGATAGATGGTAGTAGCAAAAGGAATCCAAGATGCATGTTTCGTCCTATTTGGTTCTCATCATCTGGGCGTACCTAGATGCAAAGATTGATATTCACTCAAAGACTGATCAATAACGATCCCAAACGTGCAATGCTAACCGATGTTGGAGATGGTTGGAAGAAAGTTAGGGGCGGACAAAACGAAACGTGGCATCAGTGCTTGAAGTCACTAACTTCTAGTCTTAGCCATGTTGATGGATGCAGACTACTTGGTTGGGGTCCACGTGACTATCCTCACCAGTGGTTGGAGACTGTCGATGACATGGCTCAGAATCGATCACAATAGGGTCGATGTATACACTCTCTGTCTTCCCGTAAACTAAGAGATTAAAATTGCTTCATATCTTTCTTTCTACGAACTAATTCTTTCTTCCTGTACCGTATCCTTATATGCAATCTTTCTTTTATATATTACCACCTCTGGATTAACTACTTTTATGAATCCGGCGTCCATCTTGTTGTGTTAATGAGGTATGTCAACTTGGACCGATGCACATATATGTGCCTGGTCCTACATTGTAGCTGACTGATTGACTGACCAAACATCAATGGGAAGATTCAAACAAATAATACAAAAATAAATTATCCATTTATCTTTTAAACATGCTTTAAAAAAACCGTCTATAAATAATACATTTTTCAACAGTACTTTATTATTGCTTCATCTACACCAAAGTACAACTCCAAACATATTTTTCTTCTAAGACGACATTGGTTTTATAAGTCACAATGAAGCTTCCATTTATTCCTCTAAAGTATTGTTATATTCGGTTGTCACAGATTGCTGTGCCGCAAAACCGCTGGTCACTTATACTCGGAACGAGGGACCTCGGCGATTCCCATGATGCGAAAGTAAGAACACACAAGACTGGTATAAGTGATGACTTATTAACCCCAAAACACGTCGACGACGATTCTTATAGGAAATACTCTGGTTTATAAATTGATTGTACACCTATTTTGATTAATAATTAGGATTAGATCACATATTCAGTTATAACAAATTACTTACTGAGCATAGTTCATGTCAAGTGAATACAAGAATATCTCACATATTATACAGAAGAAAATATCATACTGGGAAAACAATTAAATAGTACACTGAATGATCCTCATGTTCAATCGAAACGGATGTTGGATGTTGAATAAAACTCTTAATGAGTAATTCAATCGAAGATCGACTTTCCATCAGATCAAGAATAGATAATATGGAATATATTGAAGTATTAAGTTGATTCAAGACTAAATATCAAATGAGATTGTTTAATGATCCGAGATCTGACTCCAATCAGATCGTTTTTGATTGTCATCGAAATATATAAATCATCAATCCTCGTATATAATTATCGACTTTGATCACGTTAGTCAATAGTAGAATTAAATAAGTCAATCAAGAGAATGAATTTTGGAATAAGCATATTTTGGTACATTCACTGATCTGGACAGGAAATCAGAGGGATGAAACGAATAGAAGAGAATGAAACGAAATGACGCGTAGCGGAGTTGGCATGGAAGCCAACTCCTCTTTTAGTCAAGCGTTAATCAATATTTATAGTTACACAAACATAAACTATAGATATATGATGAATAGGATAAGAAGTTCATACATATACGCTCATATAGAAACAGTCAGGGTTGATAAGTGAATAATGAACAAGGTTAAAACGTTACTCAAAAAAGAATGAATAAATTGGACTATTCAGAAATTAGAATAGAGTATATGGGTTTAAGATAGTAACCAACGCTACATATCAAATATCACATATGATTTAGTAGAATATAAAGAAAGGGACAAGTTGAAGGCATTGGACGGCCGTTTCTTCCTATTATGGAACTCCTCAGTAGTGTGCATCCACAATCCCACACGCCACACTCAAACCCAGGACCTGTCAGTCTCGCGCGAGAACGTTTAACCTGTAGACCACTAAGCTGACATCCAACGGTGTTAATGTCTAACTTCAATCAATCCACGAAAGTTCACCACCGTCCACTATCAACTTCAATGAGTTACTGTCTCACAAGTTCTAGTCAATAATTGTGAAATATATTACCATTTCATATATTCATATTCATCCATAATTTCAAATGTAGTTTAACTGAATCTACAACGTCTTCCATTAAAATATGACACCATTCAACAAAACTAACCAATAATAAACAGTACTGTTCTCTGTTTCTATTCACCGAACTAAACGAATTTAACGTCTCATTCATATTGAATCATCAAGTTTTGTTTTTCAATAACGAGTAGTGATGAGTGGATTCGAATTTGCACACATGGAGTTCCTGTTCGTAGGATAAGAAGTGTACACACAGATATGCGCTCATATAAAAACAGTCAAGATTGATAAGTGAATAATGAACAAGGTTAAAACGTAACTCAAGTAGAATAAATAGATTAGCCTGTTCAGTAACTAGAATAGAGTATATGGGCTTAACATAGTAACTAACAGTACAGTTACATACTAATCAATGGGTAAAGAAGAAAATAATTTATGGGTCAGTTAAGGGCAATAATAACTGTTTAAAGCTTAAAACTACAAAACAATAATTCAATAATAATCAAACAAAAGTGAAGAAGAAAGTAAAAAAGAAAACCCGGAACATATCCATCAAGGGAATTAGGGCTAAGGAAGGAATGTGAGGTTGGATGAATCGCGTTTGTACGCAAAGTTCAGGCTAGAGTTCTTTGATTGCCAATGAATCAGCAATGAATAAAATATTGATTCAATTTTCTTTCGATCTAATTCCTTTGACTGTGTAGATTAGTTTAAAAGAAGACTCTTTTGGAGCGATATGCTCACAGTTGATTAAATACTCCTGTATAGAACTAGGAATTGTTTTACATTCTCCTTTTAAAAGCCAAGCTGGAAAGTGTTCTGAGATCAATTTGGAAAGTGGTCGCTTTGTGAGGTCAATCTAATCTGCCCCACATGATGTGGCCCAAAGCGGAAGTCTATTCTTAACACATCCATGAATAGTAGGCCAGCCTCAGAAAACAATAAGGAGCTTGGTTGTGTAGGACGTTTTGTTCAACGATTTTGAAATTTGTCTATTTAAGATTTCAGCATCCTCGTCTCCTTTAAATTCCACATTCATAAAAAGGGTTTTCTTTTGTACTATCGATGCCTTCTCATGATGATGTCTAGGTGTTAAGTTGCTATCGGCGAATCTAGGTGGATAACCATTCCTAATGAGAGTCTGTCGAAGTTGAAATAGTTCCTCATCTATCGTGTCAGTTGAAC